TGAACGGCGGTCCGTTGAAAAGGGGCAGGGGGGAGGAGGAGGGTCTCGTTCGAGTTGCGCTTCGAGAAAGCGACGAATTTCCACGGGCGAGATCTTATCGCGTCTCTGTGGCGGTAATAATAGTTCGGACAACGGTAATTGGCAGCGTTGAATGCGTGCGTACGAAGTTTACCCGGAGCCCGTGAGAGCCGCCACCTTGAATTACATTTTTATTACGGCGCCCCGGTTGCCGCGTGCCATATACATTACAAGTGTGACGTACGGTTTTAACGTGGATACGTAATTCCTGTCTACTACGTGAGCCGTGTAAATTATTCAGGACGAAGTATGGCTCGGCTCGGGGACTTCTTCAATTTCTAGAATGGAACGGAGTATGGACGAGTGGTCGCTGCGATGTTAAATAAAACTGATAAGGAAAAATAACGTTCGATGACGATATTCATGGAGGAATTTCGTTGCAACCTTTGACATGGCTTGCTGTTTTATAGAAATGCTTTATAGAAATTTAGGTTGAATGCAGGATTTTATAGAAACACGAAATGGAAAAAGTATGGTGTTAAATCATTTGATTGAGTCATTATTATTGCGTTCGTCAAGCTGAATGTCATTGTATTGGATAGTGGTATTTATAGTAGAGAAATATTTACAAATAATCAAACAATTGAATGAACTGTAGTCATTCGATCTGGTCGGGTCACCGGTGACCCTCATGACATTCAACGTGTTAATTGTATAATCCAGTTGATCGTGGGAAATGGGAAATGAATGGAAATATCGTGTGTTGCTTGTTTTTACTATGGCGTGTGGTCTTTAATTGTACTGATTTTTGGCAAAATACGTTGCAGAACGGAAGCCACGATTTTTTCAAGGATACTTTAACCTCTTCCTTTCGTGACCAGCCCCTAACTCATTTACTCGTCGTTAATGCCTTTTTGCGTCCCGTAACGAACTACCCGGATTGAACGACAAAGAGGAGAGTGCAGCGCAATTTTCTTTTATCGACTCATATTTTAGAACACGCATCATCGAGCAGTTTAGTAATTTCTCGTGGAACTAGACCGCGGTGAAGATTTCTAATTAAATATTTTTAACTTTACTAATCTCGCGTAGCATTTTATCGATAATTTGGAAGAAATGTAACGAAATTTTCCATTCTACTTCCAGTGGAAAATCTCATTGATCCCTGGGGAATGAACAACATTGAGTTTCGTTTAATTAATCCAGAAATCTTCATCAGAGTCTCACTCGTCATCGTATAGCAAAGAGTTGACCCTTTGCAGACGAAGATTCTCTAAAGTCTACAAAACTTCTAGATTCTGCCAAATCACACATCAATTGCCCAAATAATATAGCATAAACAAACTATGTACTGCTTACTGTTCGAGTAACTGAATCATTCCTTTGCAACTTAGTATTACAAACATGAAGTTAGTATTACAACAATATTGCACGTTCATCTAGCTAAACATTACCGCGTTAGCTAGCTCTTGTTTATAATATAGAAATATTCTCAAGCGATCATCGTGAACTATATCGTGGAAAATCTAATAATTTTAGGGTAGTTTCTTTGATCCATTTACCCTTTGCACTCGAAAGTTTTTCACTAGAAATATTCAATATTCCCCGATAAGATACATACGATGTTCCTCGAAATTAATTAACGAGAAAACATATATAAATTAAGGAGGATAGTTATTTCATTTCAATATTCCACATATCGATGCATCATACAAAGCTCAAATTAAGTGGTGACTGAGAGTCACCTCTCGATTGCAAAGGGTTAAAATGACTGATATAACTGCTGCAATATTGGATACAGAGTTCAAAGGGTTAATTCACGTATCTCTCCTCATCAGTCCGTTTCAAATAATTGTCCACGTCTCACAGGAAACTGTCGAATGTTTCCAACGAAAAGCTTCCGAGTGCAAGGGGTTAAAATCGTGTGCCCCGAGGAGTCAGAGGAATCCTGGCCCCGAACGGGCGATGGGGTTAATCGAGACGCGAAATGGTAGCTGGGCCACGTGTGGGCAGAGACAGACTCGCGCGAGGAGCCGCGGGGGCGTAGGAGGAAGGGTAGGTTCGGTCGTCGGAGGGGAAAAACCGTCGTTATGCGCGCGATGACGTTCTCCCCCCGCCTCGTAGCCCGTTTCAGCCCACTATTTACCATATTTTATCTAGGGCGGCCGCGGGTAAATCGATACGCGCCACTTTCATTCATGGCTGGCGAACCTCCCCCTCACGGCTGGCACGTTGCCCGCCCGCCGCCGTCGCGCGCGTACCACCTCGCCGGGACCAACCCCACTATTTCGCCCATTAGTGGGCACGGCCGGCTATCTCTGTCGCAGTGATTCTCAAATTCTCCGCCCGCCACCCTCTCCCTCCCGCCGTGGTTCCAGTGACGTCACCGCGAACGGGGTAGAATCGCTGCGAGCGCTGTTACAACGTTTACGTTTAAACGCTTCAACCCTCTCCCGTCGAGACCGCCTCGAGCCATTGGTTCCTTCAACGTTCACTGCTGGATCACTGTTTTCCATAGAAACGATTCAATTCTTGATGGTAGTACATTTGTGGATGCACTTGAATGCTCAACATTTATAGAATTTTTAGAATTGGACCTGTTCCTCGAGTAGATCGTGTTTGAGTATTTGTACTTGAATTTTGGTGAATGTGAACGTGGAATGTATCGATGGGATGATTGTTTGATTTAGTAATTTTTCATTTAGTTTGAGCTTTCGGGGTTGTTTTTACCCCCTTTTACCCAAAATTGTCCATTCTACTTCAGGTGGAAATTTCATTTGAAGATAACACAGTGACAATAGCAAAATAGTTTACTTTGATCCGTGGGTAACAACATTGATTCTTGTTAAATTAGTTTAGAAATTTTCATCACGAGTCTGACTCGTCATTGTATGGCGAGGGGTTAACCAGTTGACTGTGGAATTTAGTTGGAAAAACCTCTGGTTCTCGCAATAAAATAAAAAGATGGCGAGAGATTGTGCAAGTACGTTCTTCGCTATGAATGCGAGTCGATGTAAAGCAAGGGGTTGGAGAATATGAGCAATTACATTAGCCGAGTAAAGAACTGCTGCTCCTTTTGGTTTTGTAAAGTCTCGTTCCGCATTGTCGATTCCCGCGGGGAGAACGCTGCACGTTCTGTTCCGTTTATTTTCGCCCGAAGAATTACCCTTTTCCCCACTTGTCCCATTATTACGATTGCACCCTCGCGCGAAGTCTCGATTGGCGAGTGCCACCACTCGAGACAGTAGGATCATTGAGACTACCTGTTACGCGTATCGCCGTGGTAATGAATCGTGCGTGTAAGCAGACAGTGCTTCGGGTCGCGAGAGGAACAGGTAGAGTTACATATTGCACAAACTAACGTAACGCGAATATACGCAAGATTATTCGATACTTTCGATAATTTCGTCGAACGAATATATTTTGTAACTTTCAAGTTACAATGACGTTAAACTTTCACGCCTGAGTGTATGAAAGTTGAAGTTAACCGATTGCTTAATTTTATTCGCCACTTCGAGTGCAGAATGAGATAAATCAACAAGATGCCAATACAGAGGGTTAATTTCCCTTAGTTTCTCATGTAAAACAATTGTTTCCAGTCGCACTATGATTTCATGATACTGTACAAATGAACAAATCCTGAGACAACATAATGCAAATCTAATAAATACAATACGCAGACATTATGTGTGTGCAAAGCGAACGAGGCACGCGCAAAGATAACATCCCCGTCTGCCGTTGAATACGATATCGAACGAGGACGGAGATCGGGCTACCTTCTTAACCTAGTATGCAAATAGAATCTGCGAATGTAATCTATATAATCTCGAGCCCTATCCGCTCGTTTGATTCTGCGAATATCTTCGGGCAATATTACCGTCGTAGCCACTCGACGGAGATTTCGCCGGGAAATTGCATAAACAGAAGCGTTCCGTTTAACGGGCCGCCCCGGAAAGAAAGGGGAACCCGGCGATGATCGTTTCAATAAAGAAAAGAGCCGAACATTTGGATTCATAAGATACCTGCTGACTTTAAATTACGAACTTTAGATTGCCGGCCGCGCACTTCGGCGTTCTCGTCGGATCGAACGCGATAGAAGCGGA